CTGGCGTTCCGCGAGCGCTATGTCATGGGTTCGTATCCTGGCCGGGGAGGATTTACTGGGCGCAATTCCTTAACTGTAGCCTCTGTTTAACGCAACAGTAAAATGTGTACTTGGATGAAATTTAGACCTATTGTCTTATGTATGACCCTCTGTCCTGCGTGACAGTGAATACTAGCATTAACCTCAATTTAATAAGACTATCAAAATCCTCAGATTAGGCAAAATTGTAATTAATTTTGTCAATAAAGATGTTAATAATAATAATAATTGGATGAAAAAACGATTCTTCGCGGCAGGGGATCGTATTCCAGGGACCATAGGATTAAGGACTTGCCCGAAACGCTACGCGTACTAGTGGCTGTACAAGAATGTAACAACTCTTGTATATATCTCAAAAGTTCAGCCACTGAACTCAGTGATTCGTGGAACTCTCATTTATGAACTAGTTATATAAGCATTTAATTTGCATAGCAAGCAGCATCTCTGACGCCATCCACAGGCACCAGCTCTCGGTACCTTTGAAGATATTTTACTGAACGTACTCTAAGGGCAAGCTGAGGTGATGATACCTTGTGATTTCAGGGCTCTATGTCCCCGCGGCCCGGTCCTCTAACCTGGTCAAGGTCCTTATAATCCTGTCAATTGGTATCGACTCGTTAATACGGAACGTAACTATCCAACTATAAATACGACTATTTAATACTATTCGCCTACTTGCGCTCGTTACAAAATCTATTAAAAATTTTGCTCTGGCTCTATAGGACAGCCTCAACTGTCAATAAATCAACCCCCCCCCCTCCCCACACCCCCAGGAGGCAGCCTGTAGCAGCTGTAACTCCCAGCTACCTATTTACTGCTAGGCGAACATAGGCATCAGGGTGAAAGAAATTGGCCATTTGTTTACGCCTTCTAGGGTCCGGGGGACTATGAATCCTGAGCGCTGTCCACTCGGCTATCAGGCCCCAGTAGTCAGACGGGCCATTCAGTTGTCAAGAAAGCTACTAAAAAATTTTTTTATGCCACTTAAAATTACACAACGGCCGCTGTTCATACGAACGTCGGTACAAATTACAGGTGCACTGTATGCACCTATGACTATCCACAGGTACACACGGACTGCATGCACCTGTGACTATCCACAGGTACACACGTGGACTGTATGCACCTGTGACTATCCACAGGTACACACGTGGACTGTATGCCCCTGTGACTATCCACAGGTACACACGTGGACTGCATGCCCCTGTGACTATCCACAGGTACACACGTGGACCGCATGCCCCTGTGACTATCCACAGGTACACACGGACCGCATGCCCCTGTGACTATCCACAGGTACACACGTGGACTGCATGCACCTGTGACTATCCACAGGTACACGTGGATAGTCACAGGTACACACGTGGACTGCATGCACCTGTGACTATCCACAGGTACACGTGGATAGTCACAGGTACACACGTGGACTGCATGCACCTGTGACTATCCACAGGTACACGTGGATAGTCACAGGTACACACGTGGACTGCATGCACCTGTGACTATCCACAGGTACACACGGACTGCATGCACCTGTGACTATCCACAGGTACACACGTGGACTGCATGCACCTGTGACTATCCACAGGTACACGTGGATAGTCACAGGTACACACGTGGACTGCATGCACCTGTGACTATCCACAGGTACACACGTGGACTGCATGCACCTGTGACTATCCACAGGTACACACGTGGACTGCATGCCCCTGTGACTATCCACAGGTACACGTGGACTGTATGCACCTGTGACTATCCACAGGTACACGTGGATAGTCACAGGTACACACGTGGATGATAATGTTTACCTAGTCAACGATATTGCTCAGTGCACAATTACACAAACTCATTCCGCGTATTATCAAAGTAATGCTATGTGCAAACAGCTTTGAAAACTATTCGTCAACTACTTTCAACAGCAATCAAGCTGCCGGTTCATCAATTAATGCCAAGATTTATCCTTAAAATACGTGAAATAAGCATAGAGCGATTTATGGATTAGCTTAATGGCATTAAACTAGTAGCAAATTCTTTAAAACCAATTAACAATACTCGCCTAGACTTTCCAATAGTTTCCAATATACTTTAGCGAGATTTACAATTTACGATCATGTCTCCATTAATTGCATGTTGGTTAAAACGATCAAACTTAATCACCCAAGTAATTAGAACTACAATGATTCACACCTGCAATGATTCACACCTGCAATGATTCACACCTATTCTCACGAGAAAATGAAGTTCTGTACAACTCTCCTGGTGTGGTAGTACTTACAGCAGTGATCCATAGTACAGTATATATGACTGTACAGCAAAATTAGGAAGTCGAAAGCTACACTATCGAGTTGGACAAAGTTGAAAATTATTTTCTAATAGCGTTGCATAGAAATAAACCTAACCTTCCTAGCCTTCTTTAGGTTATCTTGAGATGATTTCGGGGCTTTTAGTGTCCCCGCGGCCCGGTCCTCGACCAGGCCTCCACCCCCAGGAAGCAGCCCGTGACAGCTGACTAACACCCAGGTACCTATTTTACTGCTAGGTAACAGGGACATAGGGTGAAACTCTGCCCATTGTTTCTCGCCGGCGCCTGGGATCGAACCCAGGACCACAGGATCACAAGTCCAGCGTGCTGTCCGCTCGGCCGACCGGCTCCCTAATACACTATATCCGAGGCCTAATCTAGTACAAGTGTTTAGGGCCTAGGAATATATTTAAGCGGTTTTTAAAGTTTCATTTTTTCCCCAGACTCGTTATAAAGTGAATAGGTTCTATCTAAATTGCTTAAAACTATAATCTTTGTATTGTAGAGTAATTACAAAATCTTATCTAAACAGCAAAAAGTTTAAAATGAGCACGGGACCTCCTCTCTAATGATACTACATCGTATTTTGATGTATAAAATCCCCGTATTTGACTGATCTAAGGCGAGCTAGAGTAACCCCCAGACGCTGGCTAAGGTTACAGCGTACCCATGATCAAAATACACATTATTAAAGGAAAAAAAACAAACAGCTGAAGGTCAGAGAAGCGTGCCAAATCCTAGTTTAGGCGACTGGGAGAAACTCTGCCAGACACTGTCAGGGACGCACGAGGCTATCACCTAGCTGCATTCACCTAGCTATATTCACCTAGCTATATTCACCCAGCTGCATTCACACCAAAGCGTTATATGACAGTGCTGGGAAGACGGGACACCACGAGCGTAGCTCTCATCCTGTAATTACACTTAGGTAATTACCTAGCTACATTCACCTAGCTGTGCTTGCGGGGGTTGAGCTCTGCTCTTTCGTCCCGGATCTTGTCAATCTACATACAAATAACCCCCCCCCCCCACCAAGCAGCCTTTAATAGCTAACTCCCATGTACCTATTTATTGGTAGGTAACATAGGCATCAGGGTGAAAAACTCTGCCTATCTGTTTCCGCTAGTGGCCGGGATCCAACCCGGGCCCTGGGATTACGAGTCCCAAGCGCTGTCCATTCAGCTCCTGATAGTGTGGCCCCCACAAGGTCACCACCAGTGTTGACTAGGGCTCATGTGTCAATAGCAACGGCCAAGCCCAGCCACGACACATCTGGGTCACTACGCTCAAATGTCAGCCAAGAAGATGCCTCTATTTGGCAATATTCGGGACAGATCTCAGAACGCAGCGGGTTTTCTTCCTATTGGGGAGTGTGGACATGCTATGGCGGTATGGCCACTCAAGTGAGGCTGCCCAATAAACTCGCCCCTCGGGGCAAAATTTAAAATTTAAATCTCGAAACTAATGTTACATTAAACCCGCTTAGTGAATTCCCAATATATGTGCAAATCTTAAGGGTTTTGTGATTTGTGAAACAAGCCAATTCTGTCTCACCACATCACCTAAACAGTCCATAATGACTATATTCCAAAGTATAAACCAATTAAAACATCGTAATAGGAAGAAATGCATAATTACAGCATAATAAAATTACCGCGACTAATGAGGCAATTTAAACTATCAACAATGACATTAAACAATTAACCAAATAATTAACGACAAACTAGCATTTAGTCGAGAGAAACAACCTATACAATAATACATTAAAAAGCCCCGGATATAACAAAATATTGCGACAAGCGTAATTTACGCTTAGAAACTGACGTATAATATGAACAGGTATCGCCAGGATAGCAGGCAGGGAGGGCGATAGCAGGATAGCAGAAACACCTCCCTGCTCACACTATAGCCAAGCTCTCAGCCCAGGAAAGAGACAGACAGACAGACAGAAAAAGAGAGAAAGAGGCGTACCACAGGGAGAGAGACAGGAAGGGAGAGAGAGGGTAGCAAAGGAATGGAGAGGAGAGAGGCGGAGAGGCGTACCACAGGGAGGGAGACAGAAAGGGAGAGAGAGGGTAGGAAAGGAAGAGAGAGGAGAGAGGGGGAAAGGCGTACCACAGGGAGGGAGAGAGAGAGGGTAGCAAAGAAAGGGAGAGGAGAGCGGGGGAGAGGCGTACCACAGGGAGGGAGACAGGAAGGGAGAGAGAGGGTAGGAAAGGAAGGGAGAGGAGAGAGGGGGAGAGGCGTACCACAAGGAGAGAAGGAACAGGAAGGGAGAGACTGAGCAAAGAAAGGGAGAGGCGCTTAGCGTACCACAGCCCGAGGCGTCGCCACGACACAAGAATTTCCTCAAGTTGGTCCATGTATCTCATGCCCTTCACAGCCCACACCAGGCCCACCAGCAACGCCCAACACCTCATACCAACTCACTCACAAATCTCATTACAACACAAATACGCTTATACGCTTTAAATGCGTAAAAAAATTAAAAAAACTTTTTCTAAAGTCTTGCTTTTAAATACCCACGTCACCTTTCACGTGACGTTTGTAACACGTCAGCAATACACTTGTCAACACACCCGTCACACGTCATATATGACAGCTTGACACGTGTCATATGACAGCTTGACACCTGTCAATCAGCCTCCACCCCACTCACCTGGATCTTAGTTGACCAAGAGGTAGGTGGTCAAGGCTCCAGTGGGCGGTGCAGGTGGTATAGGTTCCTGCCACCAGGAGGAGGAAGAGGCCGTCGAGACACAGGAGGAGGTAGAGAGAGAGCTAGCCGCCGTCTACCCAGCACGCCAGACACGGTCACACAAGCTTGCCGTGGCCGCCACAGCCAGCCACGTAGCGTTTAAATTCCCCGCGCGTGACGTCATTGTTTGTTGCCACCGCGTCTTTTTCATAACACTAATTCTATACATTTTCCTCCCCCTGAGGGAGCACTTATTTCCCTAACTCATGTTTATATTTATCAAAACAATGTTATAATTCATTTATAATCTTTCCTAATGGAATGGTAAATGGGAAATAATACCTGTCTCTGGCAATGAGATTTGTGACGTCAGCACCACATGGTGGGTCGACACCCCGCCTTCTCTCACCTGATTGGTCGAGCCCCGGTGGTGTGATCCTCCGGCCGGACTCTCAGCAATGCAGAAGTAAAACCACCTTTACGGCCTTGTATCACACAGGCCATAATACCATACTATATTACATTTGCCTCGCTTGGGACGTTTTGTTGTGGTCGCTGTAAAATAGCCTTTGTTGGCATGTGCTTAAGAGCGTTATTTCCGTGGGGTTGAGACACTGCAGGTCATGCTACTCTCGTACGATGCGCGGGTCGACGTAGCAAAGGGCTTATGCGTGGCGGTTGCTAGCACGGTGATCGATGCATCGTACGTTGATCACAGGCAGCACGTACGACCACCATAGAGGGAACACGTAAGACGACAACAAAGGGAGCACTTACGACGACCACAGGGAGCACATACGATAATCACAAGCACCACGTACGACCACCATAGAGGGAGCACGTAAGACAACAACAAAGGGAGCACTTACGACGACCACAGGGAGCACATACGATAATCACAAGCACCACGTACGACCACCATAGAGGGAGCACGTAAGACAACAACAAAGGGAGCACTTACGACGACCACAGGGAGCACATACGATAATCACAAGCACCACGTACGACCACCATAGAGGGAGCACTTACGACGACCACAGGGAGAACGTACGATGACAGTAGGAAACACGTACGACGACCATAGAGGCAGCACGTACGACGACCATAGAGGGAGCACGTACGATAATCACAGGGAGCACGTACGACGACCATAGAGAAAACACTTAAAACGACAATAAAGGGAGCCTTTACGACGACCACAGAAAGCACTTACGACAACCACAGGGAGCACGTACGATGATCGCAGGGCGCACGTATGACGATCTTAAGAGGACGCACAACCTCGTTATATAAGATTCCAGATCCCAGGATACACAGGAGAATTTATCACAGAGTTACGAGGTGGTCGAGGGCGTTCACGTCGGCTAAAACCTGATTGGCAAGCTTCCCTTTCCTGCCTGAGTGGCAAGTACTCAAGACTATATAAGTTTATTATCAACTTAAGGGGCCCGATAAAGTTCCCAGGCGAGTCACAATCAAAAGGGCCCGCGTTCGACTCCCGCGACAGGGCAGAGATGTTCTATACCACAGGGTGGGTATATGGGGTCCACTACCACTCACAGGATGGGTATGGGGTCCACTACCACCCACAGGATGGGCATGGGGTCCACTACCACCCACAGGGTGGGTATATGGGGTCCACTACCACTCACAGGATGGGTATGGGGTCCACTACCACCCACAGGATGGGTATGGGGTCCACTACCACTCACAGGATGGGTATGGGGCCCACTACCACCCACAGGATGGGTATGGGGTCCACTACCATCCACAGGATGGGTATGGGGTCCACTACCACCCACAGGATGGGTATGGGGTCCACTACCACCCACAGGATGGGCATGGGGCCCACTACCACCCACAGGATGGGTATGGTGTCCACTACCACTCCACAGGATGGGTATGGGGTCCACTACCACCCACAGGCTGGGCATGGGGTTCACTACCACCCACAGGATGGGTATGGGGTCCACTACCACCCACAGGATGGGCATGGGGCCCACTACCACCCACAGGATGGGTATGGGGTCCACTACCACCCACAGGATGGGTATGGGGTCTACTACCACCCACAGGATGGGTATGGGGTCCACTACCACCCACAGGATGGGCATGGGGTCCACTACCACCCCACAGGATGGGTATGGGGTCCACTACCACCCACAGGATGGGTATGGGGTCCACTACCACCCACAGGATGGGTATGGGGGTCCACTACCACCCACAGGATGGGTATGGGGGTCCACTACCACCCACAGGATGGACATGGGGTCCACTACCACCCACAGGATGAGCATGGGGTCCACTACCACCCACAGGATGGGTATGGGGGTCCACTACCACCCACAGGCTGGGTATGGGGGCCGCTACCACCCACAGGATGGGTATGGGGCCCACTACCACCCACAGGATGGGTATGGGGCCCACTACCACCCACAGGATGGGTATGGGGCCCACTACCACCCACAGGATGGGTATTAGGTCCACTACCACCCACAGGATGGGTATGGGGCCCACTACCACCCACAGGATGGGTATGGGGTCCACCACCACCCACAGGATGGGTATGGGGCCCACTACCACCCACAGGATGGGTATGGGGCCCACTACCACCCACAGGATGGGCATGGGGCCCACTACCACCCACAGGATGGGTATGGGGTCCACTACCACCCACAGGATGGGTATGGGGTCCACTACCACCCACAGGATGGGTATGGGGTCCACTACCACCCACGGGATGGGTATGGGGTCCACTACCACCCACAGGATGGGCATGGGGTCCACTACCACCCACAGGATGGGCATGGGGTCAACTACCACCCACAGGATGGGCATGGGGTCCACTACCACCCACAGGATGGGCATGGGGTCCACTACCACCCACAGGATGGGCATGGGGTCCACTACCACCCACAGGATGGGCATGGGGTCCACTACCACCCACAGGATGGGCATGGGGTCCACTACCACCCACAGGATGGGCATAGGTCCTAAGGTCTCCCCAACGTCAGGAAACTGACGTACTAAAGTGACCTTATCCTAACCTGCCAGAGGACCCACAACAGAAAACGGGACAGTTCGTCACTTTCGCCAGCCGCTTCCGTTTTCTAATACGACGATTTTTGGCCTTAGGGAGATTATACGTTAAAAAAGCGACGTTCTATTAAGAGGTGAATGTTTAAACAGAAAATGGGATGCAGGGTAGACTTAGTAAGAAAGACAGAGGAAGAAGATGAGTAGAAAAAGGTAGAGTAGATGTAGACAGTAGAGTGGGAAGAGTAGAGTGTCATTGGAGACAGCAGTCTGATAAGTGCCAATCAGGCTCTAATGTTATCTCTCGCCCAGTAATTGGGCAGTTAAGCTATTAAGGAGTTTTTTGTATTTATATATACCTGAATTTACCTGTGGACCACTAATACTAGTGGCCTCGATGAGGAGAGGATGCCGGCGGCTTGTCAAAGGCCCCCGCCTCCCCCAAATTACAAATAGGGCAGGTCCTTAAACCTAATTTTCCCTGGAATACGACCGGCCAAATTGTTTAACAACCAGGAACCCATTTCACTGTTGGGTAAACAGAGGCTACAGTTCAGGATTGGTGCCCAGTCAATCCTCCCCGGCCAGGATACGAACCCAGACGAACCCAGGGGCTATAGCGCTGGGCGAGGATCGTACCACTGTGCCACGGACACTGCAAAATATCAATAAACAGTTAAATATTATCTAGTGAACCTGGGGCCAGATTCACGAAGCAGTTACGCAATCACTTACGAACCTGGGGCCAGATTCACGAAGCAGTTACGCAAGCACTTACGAACCTGGGGCCAGATTCACGAAGCAGTTACGCAAGCACTTACGAACCTGGGGCCAGATTCACGAAGCAGTTACGCAAACACTTACGAACCTGTCCATCTTTTCACAATCTTTGGCGGCTTTGTTTACAATTATTAAACAGTTAATGAGCTCCGAAGCACCAGGAGGCTGTTTATAACAATAACAACAGTTGATTGGCAAGTTTTCATGCTTGTAAACTGTTTAATAAATGTAACCAAAGCCGTCAAAGATTGAGGAAAGATGTACACGTTCGTAAGTGCTTGCGTAACTGCTTCGTGAATCTGGCCCCAGGGTCGTAAGTGCTTGCGTAACTGCTTCGTGAGTCTGGTCCCAGGTTCGTAAGTGCTTGCGTAACTGCTTCGTGAATCTGGCCCCAGGTTCGTAAGTGCTTGCGTAACTGCTTCGTGAATCTGGCCCCAGGTTCGTAAGTGCTTGCGTAAGTGCTTTCGTGAATCTGGCCCCAGGTTCATAAGTGCTTGCGTAACTGCTTCGTGAATCTGGCCCCAGGTTCGTAAGTGCTTGCGTAACTGCTTCGTGAGTCTGGCCCCAGGTTCGTAAGTGCTTGCGTAAGTGCTTTCGTGAATCTAGCCCCAGGTTCGTAAGTGCTTGCGTAACTGCTTCGTGAGTCTGGTCCCAGGTTCGTAAGTGCTTGCGTAACTGCTTCGTGAGTCTGGTCCCAGGTTCGTAAGTGCTTGCGTAAGTGCTTTCGTGAATCTAGCCCCAGGTTCGTAAGTGCTTGCGTAACTGCTTCGTGAGTCTGGCCCCAGGTTCGTAAGTGCTTGCGTAAGTGCTTTCGTGAATCTGGCCCCAGGTTCATAAGTGCTTGCGTAACTGCTTCGTGAATCTGGCCCCAGGTTCGTAAGTGCTTGCGTAACTGCTTCGTGAGTCTGGCCCCAGGTTCGTAAGTGCTTGCGTAAGTGCTTTCGTGAATCTAGCCCCAGGTTCGTAAGTGCTTGCGTAACTGCTTCGTGAGTCTGGTCCCAGGTTCGTAAGTGCTTGCGTAACTGCTTCGTGAGTCTGGTCCCAGGTTCGTAAGTGCTTGCGTAAGTGCTTTCGTGAATCTAGCCCCAGGTTCGTAAGTGCTTGCGTAACTGCTTCGTGAGTCTGGTCCCAGGTTCGTAAGTGCTTGCGTAACTGCTTCGTGAGTCTGGTCCCAGGTTCGTAAGTGCTTGCGTAACTGCTTCGTGAGTCTGGTCCCAGGTTCGTAAGTGCTTGCGTAACTGCTTCGTGAGTCTGGTCCCAGGTTCGTAAGTGCTTGCATAACTGCTTCGTGAGTCTGGTCCCAGGTTCGTAAGTGCTTGCGTAACT